CAAATCCGACCGGCAAAAGGCCCAGGGGACGGTCAAGATTAACCTGGTGCAAACATATGGAAGGAGTCTGCTTTTTCGTTCTCCTGCCCGTTGCTCTCCAGATTAACGGAGAGGCACAGTGGTGCAGGTGGAGAAGTTCAAGTAGCTCGGAAATGTATTTACTAGTGATGGAAAATCGGAGGAACAGATCGACCGGCGAATTGGAGTAGCCATTGGCATTCCGTGTGAATTGGCCCGATCCACTGTGACTAGAGCAGAGCTCAGTCTGAAAGCTAAGCTGTCAGTGTTCAAGTCGATTTTTATCCCCATGCTCACAAACGGTGATGAGTGGTGTGCCATGAAGGAGAAATTTCGATTCCGGGTACAAGCGGCTGAAATGGGGCTTCTGAGTCGAATCTCTGGCCTTATGCGTCTCGACATTGTTCGAAGTATCCAAGAACTGTGTAATATCCGACACTTGCGTTGTATATAGCCAATCCTTCAATGTTAACGGCATGGCCACAAGCACTCTCTGAGCTAAAGGATTTATTCTGGAGGATTTTATCCTTAAAACGCTTTTCGACACGAGTAGGAGGAAAACTTACGCCAGTGACGAAACAGATGCAGTCAGTGGATATTTCGTTAAACGGGTGATGACGGTTCACTGGCTCAGCGTTGTTTACCCCATTCATGAACAACGCTATTGTTAAAGGATATGAATGAAAGATCACCAGTATTTGTGATAATCTCAAAGATTAGACGATCGCATCAACATAAACACTGATATAAAGCGCCAATGTTGATGATAATTTACTCATGAAAACTAAAGAGCAAGAAAGATCTGGAAACTGAAGATGAACCTGAAATACCAGGTGCATCCAATTTGGGTGGACAGAGAAATTATTACAAGAACAACTGCATTCTAATACGACTGTTATAATTGTGAAGATAGTCGAGAGTCTATCTATCGGCCAAAGTTTCGGTTTTCAAGGGCATTTGACACTTGCGATAATATGAAGTGCGTGAGACATATGGCTCTGCTATTGCAGAGATAAAGAACTTTTAACAGATGAACTCATTTATATCTCTCTGCGGGAAATATGGTTGTGCGAAAGCTATATTCTAATATATTTCTATTCATCGTCTCTTATTCATATATCCATATGTCACTTCATTTTATTAAGTCAATCCCCCAGAGAAGAAGACAGTTTCAACTGAGCACTTTCTTTATTCCGGTATTTCAAAAGAAATTCGTTAGTGTTTTGCAGAAGCAGTGTGTAATCCGTCTTGCACAAGAAATTCCGCATGTGACTAGTAAAGAAAACAGTGATATTGTTAACCAAATTATTTATAAAAATTGCCCCTTATGTAAAGAAAATCTGTAGAGGTAAAAAATCCCGCCATATGGCAGACTTTCAGGAACTCTGTACCATACCTAAGTAATCTTCATCGATTTGTTGTAGCAAAGGTC